CACAGTGTCCTACGACCGGGGGCGTTCGGAAGCGCGGAGCTTGTAACTACTTGTCCATGGTCAACAGTTGAGTAGACATCAGCACTATGACACAAACTATATCTCAATTGTAGGGTAGGCCACTTACAAGTCGCTCTAGGTAACGAGCGCGCTGGCACGTAGCGACGCGCCGACTGACTCCCGGCGGTCGGAGTCATACGGCAAGCAGGCATATCCAGGTTTCTGTTGTTCTGATGAGTCATCTAAACCTGGCTCATATAGCATAAGATGTCCACATCGCGACTACTGCATGCGAGGTACTCACTCGGAAGGAGGAAGTTGCCGTCGTGCCGAGTAGTTTATAACTTTATATTGTCAATCTGGCAGGTTGAACTTCCGCGAGCAGTGAAGACAGGCGGCGAGAGAGTGCGTAGAGGTATTCACTAGTCATCTAGACCTGTATACGGCGCGGAAATTGCACTGGCATGAGAAGTAGTAGAGAAGGAAGTCTGCTGCGGTGTTGGACGGTGGCGGCACGGCGATGACGAATATCTGGGAATGGTAATGGAGACGCCAGACGAGAGGAGCCAGGCGCCTACGACTTGAACCAGGACAGTCATCATCTCTGCTTGCGAATCGCCATTCTTCTAATCTCATATGCATCCAACTGGCCCAAGTTGCTTGACCGCCTTTGTTTGTCTTCATGGTTCTCAGAACGCCGACCCAGAATTCCAACTAGTACTGATACGACCGGCTGCCCTCCTATCCGACGAATTCTTTGCCCGGGCCAGTTGAGAGGTATAGCATTTGTGGTTATCTATTTCTCTTAGCAAATGCACTAGCTGAGCCATGAGTTAGGTTTGCCTTGCCGCTGGCCTGCTCGACATGGTGCCAACGTGGCGCGGAGTCGCGCCACCGTGGCACTTGTTGGGAACTGGAGGCGACCATGTATACACTGCTGCTCTGCCATTACAATTCGGTTGTCAAGGCGGAAGCCGTCGTCTTGACGTTTTTGTCTCCTTATCTACCGGATGCAAAGCTGATCTCGCCCCATGTTGCGCCTCCTGAGCGCTCAGCGGGGCAAGATATACGCACGTGTGGATCGGAGAGCCCTACCGGCTGCTATGAATCGTACGTTCTCGCATCCGCTCCGTGCTATCGCTCCTCCGACATGGATTTACCTCTGCCTTCCGCATTCCAGTGCCTCCTGCAGTACCGCAGCGAGAGCTCTCTCAGTCCGGGAAGAGACCTAACGCCTTCTATGCATGTTGTCGCCACTTCTCCTGTTCAGGCCATTTCTTTCCCCTTCGTGAACGCCACAGTGGAGCCGCATGCGGAAGAGGAAGATCAAGGCTTCAACGGAAGTCACCGTGGCGAGAGCGTAGTCTCGTTTGGAGATGACGGTCACGACAAGTTCGCAGCGCAACACTGGCAGCAGAGATCAGTCACGACAAGGCAGGACCAGGGAACACGTCTCTCTCCGGAGGCCAAGAAGCTTGAAGAGGATCACGGTCCAGGTCAGGCTGGAGCTATGGGCGCCGATCCTGTCGCGTGTGCGCCGGATGTCGCTATGCCGCTGACGGGACGCACGCTTCGTTCAATCCCATATCGCTCGGACAGTGCGGACACTACTGTGGACTGGGGGGACGAGTATTCCTCGACGGCCCCCATTGCTGACAGGGAATATACCCCGACTCTACGCACCCACGGAGCGGTTCCTGCTGTGGCCGGGGCCGTCCGCGAGCGTCCACGGGGAGGAGGCCGTTTGGACTCCCAGCTCCGGTCTCGGAAGAACTTCTCGACAAGCCGGAGCACATATCGCAAGAAGTCTTGCACCGCGCGAAAGCACTGGAAGTTCACGTTCATCGACTATCCCATGACCCCGATGCGCAGCTGCTCCCTTCCGCTATTCAGGCGGGTTGATGAACCGGTGACGGACGCAGACAGGATCTTGCAGGCAACTGTGACCGTACAAGGGGTGGATAGGACGGCGCCATGCCTGCCCTTATTGTGGGTGTTGGAGCGGGACATCTGGGACGCCGTGCACATCTCGCATGGGGAAAATGGTCGTCCACTGACCCTCCCACCGCTTGCAAGTACCAAGCTAGAGCACGTAATTGGCAAGCAACGCATTGCCATCGAGGTGAGCGAGGACGATTCCTTCCTGCGTCTGTCTGATGCACTGACGAGTACCAGATTTGGGCAAAGGATCTTTCTTTCAAGGGGCCAATGAACGTCTATTGCTCTGTCAAAGCGACAGAGAAAGAGATTGTGGGGATGGTTGCAGAGGGGGTGCGCGATGCCCTGCCGCGCGTGAGTTGTTGCTTCGTTGGCTGTGATGCACTCTCCCCGACACTGACCCGGCCTTCAGTGCAACAGAGATCAAGAGCTCGAGACTCTTGCCCTGAATCTCTTGTCGCGACCGCGGAGCATTGTCAGAGCGATCATTGACCGCATCCCGGAAAGGTCATAGATTGTGAGCATGGGCCCGGCCTTCGTTTGTGGTTGCAATGACATCGCTCTCAGACTCGAAGCATGTATCTTAGTGCCAAATGATACAGTCCTGATGCTTAACCGTACATTGATATCTTGCGTGGTATGTGCGGCAACACATGGCACTGTCGATTGAGTGGAAGCAATCCAAGGAAGGCCCCTCGTATCTCAAATTGGCAGTCAGTCGGTCTGCCAGAGGCCGCGGAGGCCATCAGGGTCTTGCCATGGACGAGCTACAGTCTGCTGGGCCACCGTTGAGTCGGCATTACCAGATGGTTTCAAGCCTGCACGAGCTATGCATCATGATAACGCGCTCTCGGGTACTTGCCGCGGGACCAATCAACTTCCTCGACGCTACATAGTCCAATTCTTACTAAGTAGTAAATGATGCGTGTCTACTCGTCGCAGCTCCGTATAATACACAAGTAGGCCTTCAACAATACGCTCCCATATCCTCACCCGACTGCACCGTGGGTCTCCGGAGAACATCAATACAAAGGCTCCGACTTGACCGTGACGCTGATGTCCGTCCAAGGAGAGAGCCGACTCCCTCCATCAGATGCTTCCGTACCGAGTCGCTGCCCATGCAACACTTGCTGCGACGCCCTGATAGTACCAGTGCCAGAGCGACCCGTGTCTGTGTCCGCGACGGAGTCCGCTCGCGAAGCGGATTCGCGCGCAGTCGGAGAGTGCTGCCAGTGAGGAACAGGCGTGGACGCGTAGTAGTCCGACGTCTCCACCAACGTCTCTTCGTTCTCGACTGAGAACGATCCGCGCACCGAAGTGGCATTGGGGACGGGCGGCGTGGAGGAGGCGGCCCGGGGATCTCCAGGCTGAAGTTGCGGGGCAGGAGTCTGGCCGTTGGCTTCAGCATCCTCGGGCTCCTCCAAGGCAGGCGGTAGGGACGTCCCAGGAGGACTGGAGGCGTGGCGTGTCACGTCCTCCCGGGCCCACTGGGTGAAGACCGTCAACTGCGTGCGCATCGGAGTAAGAGAGAGCCGGGCGAGCGACACGCGCAGGCCCTGCAAGTCGCGCATGTCGACCTCGATGGGAGGGAGAGTTTCCTGATCGATGTTGTGCAGGAGCCTGACGGCAATAGTCCGAGTGTCGCCTGGGACGAGGCGTTCGGGACTTAGGGTATGGGATGGGGATGGAGATGGGGCGATCTGCGAGGCGGATGGCAAGGAGGCATCGCGCATGGGAAGTGCCATTCCCGGCTGCGAGGCGGCGGACGCAGAAGGATCAGCCGATACGGCGCCACCAAGCCCTGCAGACTCGTCGTCGCTCTGCGTGCCTTGCATCTCGGTGGCGCTCTCCACGTCGATGACCATCCCCTCCGAATCTCTGTCCGAAGTATCGACGGCGCAGTCGCCATCATACTGGTCACTAGCGGGTGTGTATTCGTTGCGATACAAGGAGTCAGAGGTATCCTCTCTCATAAACTCCGCTCCGTCCTCATTCCCGTAGTCGCCGTCATCAAGCTCGTGTTGGGAGGCGGTGGTGGTACTGTGGTCTTCGTCATGGTCCTCAACCTCGTCAGGGGTGGACGCGTCGTATTGAGGGTGCTGCTCCGCGACCTGAGAGCTCCGATGGAGCTGATTCGGATAGCCCTCTAGGAGAGGGTCGTCCTCCAACATAGAGTATGAAATGAGGGAGCGAACGCTGCCCTCCCGCACAGACTCCGATGCGCCTTGTTCTTCTCCGGAAGGTTCAACATGGACCCCTTCTCCGGGTTGCTGCTCTTCAGCTTGTGTTTTATGAGACTGGGATCGTGACGCGCTCGCCATTGCCATCGGGAAGGGCTGTAGCGAGCTCGACGTCCCCACTGGCGCACTGCTTCCACGATGATCCTGTTCGTGAGGGGGCTCTATCACATAAGTTGGACGGGTGAGTTCAGTGAACGTCACTCGGAGAGTGAACATGTGAGCTACCTTGGCGCGTTTGTTGGGGATGGCGAAGTGAGCGCATCGGGGAGTCCTCGAGGCGGTACGGTGGGTGGGTGGTGCGTCTGAAGCTAGATTTGGATGTCATAGTTGATGGGAATTGTGACGAGGCTGAGGTGTCCAGGTAGTGTCTTATATACGCGGCTGGCTGGGTTGTGTGTATGCAACTCGGTGACCATGCGTTTCGGTTCGCGATTGTGTACCGTCGCCCGGCGGTGAAGTAACATCCTAACATACGACGGTTCTTTTGTCAAGAGACTGACCAGGGAGGCGTTGGTCGTCAGCACCACGCACAAGACTATGATGAGGCGACCACACATACTTTTCCAAGTCACCGTGAACACGGAGATGAAGGGTTACGCGGTCACGGTATGGGCCGCCGCCTGATGTCGATAAACTTCATGCCAACTGAGTCATCGTACTTCTGGGTCGTTTCCATCCTATGTACTAATATGAGGGAGATTCGTGGAGGATGGCAGATATGTTCGAAGTGGTTCGGTCCAAGTTACTTGGTCATCTTTTAGCTCATTACTTAGTGAACAACGTTGCTGAACACAACAGGGTTGCCAAACCTGTCAGTTTCATGACATCATAGCCAAGCGGTTACGGCGACAGATTCGAATGTTTCAACCACGGAGAAATGCGGTTATCTGTTTCCCTTTGGGAGCGCAGGTTCGAATCCTGCTGGTGTCGTCCTCGTCCCGACGGAGTTCTGCTCTGTCCTTTTTGCCAATTGTTTGCAAGCATATGTCCGACAACCGCCTCTGTGAGTCTGACTACACATCGTAACTTATTATATACAGTAATATTGGGGACAGCAGGACAACGCCTGAAGTATCGCAAGAACACGCTGAGACAAGCACAAGGTTACAGCAACTATTGAGACTTTGCATCTTCTCTCCGTCAGAGCTTCGGCCGCACGACACTCCCGCCGTCGAGCTGTATAGTCGCGCCGTTGACGTACGCGCCAGCACGGCTTGAGAGGAAGATACACGCGCCGGCCACGTCCTCTGGCGTGCCGATGCGTCCGAGCGGGATGTTCGCCTTGATGATCTCGCCCTGCTCGCGCAGAGTATGGGCCATCACTGTCTAACGGTCAGCGTCAAACTCAGCTGGAAATGTTCCGGTGCGACATACTCTTGCTCTCAAAGGGGCCTGTGCGAGGGAACCGGTGAGTACCAGAACCACGGTCGATGAGTGACTCGGAGTCTCGGAGACGTACCACACGCAAGGGTGTTGCTCGTGATGCCCTCGGAGCCCAGCCGTCCCGCTAGGTTCCGGCTGAGATGGTGCAGGCCTGCCTTGGAGGCCGAGTACGCGTACGTCTCGTGCGCGGGGACAACCAGGCCTTCGACTGAGCCGATCTGCAGGGCGCGTGAGTGAGCAGCAGACAGGAGTAGCGACATGGGGTCGGAGCCTACGTTGATGATGCGCGCTGGGTCGCGGTACACACCGTTGTCTACGCCGCCCTGCTCGGCACCCGCGCGCAGGAGGGGGAGGCTCTTCTGGGTGAGGGTGAAGACGCGTTGTAGGTTCAGCGTGAGGAGCTTCGTCCATGCTGCGTCCTAGGACGATGTCCGTGTCTGAGTATCGGTGACTCTCGAGGAAGCGAAAATCAGACGCACCGGGTACTCGTCGAGCGTGTCACCCCACGCAGCGCCAGCGTTGTTCACGAGTACGTGCAACGCCTTCTCCCTCGCGCAGAGCTCCTTCACCAGCCTCTCAACTTCCTCCAGCTTCTGCATGTCTGCCGGCAGCGCGACGCACTTCCCGGGCCCGAGCGCGTTCAGCTCCTTCTCCGTGGCTGCACAGTCCTTCGCGGACCGGGACGAGATGTAGACCTGCGTGTCGAGCGCGTCACCACGCGTTCTACTCGTCTGTATGGGATCCACGTACCTTCGCGCCGTTCTTGACGAATCCAGTAGCGATCTACTCGGTCGTGAGCTCCTGCGCTGTCCTCCCGCCACAGCGTTCGCACACGTACCATCTTCCCGATACCGCGGCTCCCGCCCGTGACCAGTACGACCTTGCCCTTGACATTGAAGAGGTTCTCTACCTGGAAGGATGCCATGCTGGTCTTCGTAAAAGCAACAAGGCGAGAGTAAATGAGGAAATGGGTGTAAAGGACATCAGGGGCGAGAGATAGGTTTATGTTCCCCGGACGCCGCCCAGCGTGCGGGGCGGCGACTAGCAAATGCCGAGTGCGGGGTAAGGCACTCCGGCCCCGCTTGCTGGAATGACCGGTACTAGTAAGTACATAGTACTGACTAGTAGAGACTGCACTTACTATTACCAATTTGAAGTGAGTAAGTAGTGCAGTATAATAGCAATAAGTTCCAGTACTTACCCCGTCAACACTCAAGTCAATACTGGGAAGCGCTTGGAAATTCAGTACTCAGTCTTTGCCACCATCGTCATTTTGCTCGCACTCTCTCTGAAGACTCCTTGCAACCTTCTAGGGAATTTGTATTGCGGGTAGGATCCTTAAGTATCCGTATCCACTATCCATGCAGCGTCCTAGTTGGCGGACCAACCGCCGGCGTTCCACTCGAACTGATCAGACCAGAGGGATCAACATAGACATAGTGTATATTAAGGTGCTGACAGAGTAGGAGTAGTAGATGGTAGTGCAGACGTAGGGGAAAGTCCAGGAGGAAGAGGCTGCGGCGACTCTGACCTCGGCAGACGCGGTGAAGTTAGACCCCCACGATCGCCTTCCTTCTCCAATACGAGCGCATCAACGAGTCCAAGGTCCTCCGGGCTTACAGGTTTCTCGTCAAGTTCGGGAGGAAGACTCCGCGTATGATGGAGACCCTCTGTGTGTACTCCATGAAGAGTTGGAACGGGATGCAAGTGACCGGGTGCGAGGAGAGAAATTCGAGGATGGACGGGAGGTCGTACGGGCTCTACCCACGAAGCAGCTAGAAGTGCAGGTGTTTTGTCGTTAAGCTACAAGGACAACCAGATAGGAATGGTGAAACATGTACCTCTTCGTCGTCGTCCTTTGAGCCCGAGCGTCCGGCGGAAGAACGATTGCATCGAGTTTTCGCGCATACTCATTCTATCGAAGTCTGACCACAAATTTTGAATACAACACGACCAATCATAGAGGTAGCTTGAGAGATTCACGTACCGTGATCGCCGTCAAATGTCCGCGTGTACCGGTGCTGCTTCCTCTGCCGCCGCCACCAGAGGAATACGGATCCACAAATCAACAGCATCAAGAGAATCCCTCCGATCGTCCCGCCTACAATCGCACCGACCGGGGAAGCCTTCTTCGTCTCAGTTCCCGTCTGCGTCGTCTCGCCGGAGGTTGCGACATCCCCGTGCACAAGCTGGGAAGTATGGGAGGTGGTGACGTCGAAGCGGTCAAGACAGAACGGCTTCGTCTGGCTGGCGTCCGTCACTGTAAGCTCGACAGTGTGGTTCGCCCACGAGAGGTTGTCGGCGTTGCAGATGAGCCAGTGCCACGGAGTGTGGGGGTTACTCGTAGTGTTCGGTGGCCGTCGTACTTCTAGAGGGTCGCCATCAACGGTGCATGTCACTTGTGCTACGTCGGTATTGGGCCAGTAGAAGGCCCAGACGTCTACACTCCAAACTGAAGTATAACTGTCAGCACACTGAAGGCAACATTGGAGCAAGCTAGGATAGACGCACAATCGTATGTGACATTCACAGTTGCTGGGGACTCCGCGCAAGTCTCGGGGTTGGACATGCCATAGGTCACGGCCTCGCTCCGAACCCAGTTGTCCTCGCTGTATCGAACGACACTGTTGCGGTTGCCTAAGACGATCCAAGTGCTGTTGGGGTCGATCATGGTGAGCTGCAGGAAACGGGTCAGCACTCCGGGCGGACGAATATTCTTATACCAACTCACGCGCGTCGACGTCGCGACGAGAGGCCGCATGCCTATCGCTGACGGGAGCATCCGACCAACCAGTTCAAGGAAGATGGTATGTCATGATGGCGGTGAACTGACAGCAGTAACAGCACTACGACTGACAGATGGAAGATCCCCTTATTGCATCCGTCTACCACTGGCACACGGTTCAACTTGCATTGCTCTGCCAAATATATATGGTTGAGAGACTCTCGATGTAAGAGCTTTATACGGAATCTAGCTTTAAATTCGAATTCACAATACTTCTCCGAGCAGTAGCGTCGCATAGCAGGCGATGGAATCAAGTCTGACAGGGAACCGCAGAACAGTGTCCGAGCTGAAAGGGGATTGTGTGGCTCGCACCCTAGCAACGTCGAATTGTTGACAGCCGCTTAACGAAGACACCAGTACGCTGTGGATTAGATCACATGCAAGAATAAGCACGGCTTCGACTTCCGGTAAATGTGGACGGTCGCTCACTTGCCAATCTGCTGAACAGAAGTATGTAGCCGCGAAATGATTTGGCAGCAATTGCAATGCCGTATCACAATCAACCTCTCGGGCCATGACCGAGAGGTGAAGAACCGGTAGGTATTGCCCGGCCCTTCGGGTGCACGACAGTCACACCCTAGGTAGAGTCCAGGGTTGCCACTGATTGGTCCGCAGCCAGAAGTACAGTGGTATAGCAGAGTCGCGTTACAGATCAAGAGTCCTGAAGATCACTTCGTCCCAGAGTCGACAGGAGGAGAACTAGAGTGTACTGATGGAGCCATGCCCGAATCAGCGGCGGATTGGGGTGTGGTAGGTGGAGAAACCATCCGGTGCTGGGCTGGTACGGCGACGTCCGCATGCCCTCCAGCATCCTCCAGCATCCCCGAGATGGGAAGGTCTGGGAGCCCGAGATCTTGAGGGCTCACCGTTCGGTCTTCCGGGGGTAAGTCCACACTGCTCGTCCGTGTAACGTCTACTGTTGCGGTGACGTTCTCACGTTGTGCGAAAGATGGCTCCTCAAGCAAGGGTGGCACGATGGAGACGGGATGCCGAACTTCAACCCACGCCGGCTCTGTAGTGCCGACCGTCAAACTGCGGCACGGACCACAAAAGGCGCCAGGCTGGACTACGCACCTCTCCTCTGCTTCTTGCGGCCCCATGGGCGGAATCTGAACGACGACATAAGGGTGCTTCGCCGTCGAGAGTGGATGCTGTCGCGCCCAAAGTCTGAGGCGACGGGAGAAGCGACTTGAATGCGCGCGGTACCACATGGAAGGGTGAACACATACCGTCGTCGTCTCCAGCCATGCGTGCGTACTGATGCTGCTTCCTGCGCCTGTACCAGAGGAACAGCGCTCCGCAGATGACAAGAGTCAACGCGATTGCTCCCAGCGTCCCTCCCACGATGGCGCCAACCGGCGTCTTCGCGTTGGCCGCAACCCCACTGTGAGAAGAGGTAGGCGAAGACAGAGAAGTCGTCGAGGTCGAGCTGCCTCCAGACTCTTGGATGAGCTGGGCGGGTTGGGGCGCCATCACATCGAAGGTGTCGAGGCAGAAATTCTGGATCTGCGTAGCCTCCGTCACGGTGACCTCCACGGTGTGATTCTGCGGGGAGAGGCCTTGCGCCTGGCAGACATACCACTGCCAGTAGATGTCGGGGTTGCTGGACGTATCGGGGGGATCGAGGACCTGCACCGACTTGCCATCGATCGTGCACGTCACTTGGGGCACGTCGTTCCCAGGCCAGTAGTACGCCCAGACGACGACGTAGTTGACTGCACGGCGCACCCGATATATCAGTACTAGTGTCGCAGTCTCGGCA